GGCTCTCCAACACACCGGTGTAGTGTTGTACTAGTGACGAATTGGCCACGTTCTGTTTCACGCGGACAACTCCGTTTTTTCTCCTGTCACTTTTATTCGACTAGAACTCCTCGCGTTCGACACCACGCAACTCTGTCACAACTCTCCCGCTTGTGCTGCTCACTCCGCTCTCTCACTCTCCCAGCCTCTCCACTGCTAGCCTGTCTCTCTCTCTCACTCTCCCAGCCTCTCCACTGCTAGCCTGTCCCTCTCTCTCACTCTCCCAGCCTCTCCACTGCTAGCCTGTCTCTCTCTCACTCTCCTAGCCTCTCCACTGCTAGCCTGTCCCTCTCTCACTCTCTCAGCCTCTCCACTGCTAGCCTGTCTCTCTCTCTCACTCTCCCAGCCTCTCCACTGCTAGCCTGTCTCGCTCTCTCACTCTCCCAGCCTCTCCACTGCTAGCCTGTCCCTCTCTCACTCTCCCAGCCTCTCCACTGCTAGCCTGTCCCTCTCTCACTCTCCCAGCCTCTCCACTGCTAGCCTGTCCCTCTCTCACTCTCCCAGCCTCTCCACTGCTAGCCTGTCCCTCTCTCACTCTCCTAGCTCCTCTACTGCTAGCCTCTCACTATACACTCTCCCAGCCTCTCTACTGCTAGTCTGTCACTATACACTTTGCTAGCTTCTCCACTGCTAGCCTCTCACTATACACTCTCCCAGCCTCTCCACTGCTAGCCTGTCCCTCTCTCACTCTCCTAGCTCCTCTACTGCTAGCCTCTCACTATACACTCTCCCAGCCTCTCCACTGCTAGCCTCTCGCTATACACTCTGCTAGCTTCTCCACTGCTAGCCTCTCGCTATACACTCTCCCAGCCTCTCCACTGCTAGCCTGTCCCTCTCTCACTCTCCTAGCTCCTCCACTGCTAGCCTCTCACTATACACTCTGCTAGCTTCTCCACTGCTAGCCTATCACTATACACTCTGCTAGCTTCTCCACTGCTAGCCTATCACTATACACTCTGTTAGCTTCTCCACTGCTAGCCTTTGCGTACTCACACTTGGGATTCCGCTAGCCTCTCTACTGCTAGCCTTTCTACCCTCGCTTCTCCAACCTCGCCCTTCCTTCCAGCGGGGGATCAACCATCGCCGCTGGAGACGGCGAGCTGTTACGAGCGGGGGCCCGGACCGTCTCTTGCGTTCACTCTTCACTCCAACCCACCCAACCCCTGCTCCTCATTAAACGCCCTAATTAAGCTCGCGCGTGCCTTCCGCTGCTATCGCCTCAATCTGCAGACTCCGAGGCGCCTACACCGCGTCTACATTTGCAGCCAGCCAATCAACGCTATGCATCTCAATGTGTCGTCTCTCTCTCTCTCTCTGAATTTCTCTCTCACCGCACCTATTTGCCCTGACGTGAGTCCACTGTCCGCGGCTCGCACGTGCATGCACACTGTTTGCAAAACCCCGCGCGCATTACTCCACTACATATTTACGCGATCTAACCCAAAAAAACCCTCTGTTATGGATGATATTGGTCGCGAAAGCCTACGCGTTTGAATACTTATAATATTATGAATTAGTCTATTGGTAATTGTTTTGTTATAGTATTACTTTATTATTAATCATTTTATTAGGACACCTTCAATTATTATATCATTAATTATATTGTTATTCATTATTATATATCACTATCTATATACTTGGTTCTTTCGGTATTGTCACGTAGAAGGGAAACAATAAAATAATAAAAATATAAAACAAAATTCTCACGACATTTCGACTGCAACACAAGCAATCATCATCAGGTGTGAAAACCACAGCAAGAAAATTTGAAAAAAGTGGCGGGTTTTTTTTGCTGTGGTTTGCACACCTGATGATGATTGCTTGTGTTGCAGTCGAAACATCGTGATAATTTTATTGTTTTATATTTTGTTATTTAATTGTTTCCCTTCTACGTGACTTTACCGAAAGAACCAAGAATATGAATCCCTGCAGTCACAAAAGCTTTAAATCAAAATAAATATCACTAGTTAGTTATTATATGATGAATTATTATGACACCTTCAATCGCTTTATCATGAACGCCTTCAGTCACTCCCGCGATGTGTGGGAGCCCCGCTCTTGCACGGAGATGAATCAGACACATTGACGAGGAGGCGCCGGCAGCGATTGAGGTGGCATAATAATCAATAATAATGTAATCATCAATAATATAATTATAGTCATAATTAATAAAATTAATAATATATGATATTAATACAAATTAATCGAAATATAATAATCATATACTAACATAATGTTATACTCTTTGGGTCTTTCGGTAAAGTCACATAGATAGAGAAAAAAAAATAAAAAAAATCACGACGTTTCGATCACAACACAAGCAATCATCTTCAGGTGAAAAAATAGAGCAGGTGGACTGCTGAGGCAGGAATAAATGTAGCGAGAGAGCTACTGCAGCCAGAGGTTATAAAGGTTTTAGATGGGTACAACCCAAGGGTAAGTGGGTGGGGCTAGAGATGGAATTTGCAAGTCAATGTAAGATCACAGAGCTAGGTATACCTCGGCCATTGTATTGCTAGAGATTAGCATGCCAATGTGTTAATGTAACCCCACGGCTACGGTGCTGAAGAAGCCATTGTATGGCTAGAGATTAGCATGTCAATGTGTTAATGTAACCCCATGGCTACGGTGATGAAGAAGCCATTGTATGGCTAGAGATTATCATGTCAATGTATTAATGTAACCCCACAGCTACGGTGCTGAAGAAGCCATTGTATGGCTAGAGATTAGCATGTCAATGTGTTAATGTAACCCCACAGCTACGGTGCTGAAGAAGCCATTGTATGGCTAGAGATTAGCATGTCAATGTGTTAATGTAACCCCATGGCTACGGTGATGAAGAAGCCATTGTATGGCTAGAGATTAGCATGTCAATGTATTAATGTAACCCCACGGCTATGGTGGAAGAAGCGGTTGTATGGCTAGAGATTAGCATGTCAATGTGTTAATGTAACCCCACGGTTACGGTGCTGAAGAAGCCATTGTATGGCTAGAGATTAGCATGTCAATGTGTTAATGTAACCCCATGGCTATGGTGGAAGAAGCCATTTTATGGCTAGAGATTAGCATGTCAATGTGTTAATGTAACCCCACGGCTACGGTGCGGAAGAAGCCACTGTATGGCTAGAGATTAGCATGTCAATGTGTTAATGTAACCCCACGGCTACGGTGCTGAAGAAGCCATTGTATGGCTAGAGATTAGCATGTCAATGTGTTAATGTAACCCCACGGCTACGGTGCTGAAGAAGCCATTGTATGGTTAGTGATTAGCATGTCAATGTGTTAATGTAACCCCACGGTTACGGTGCTGAAGAAGTCATTGTATTGCTCGAGATTAGAGATGAGCGTGTCAATGTGAGACGGTTCCCGCAGCAGCAGCTGTGTTAATGAGAGACATTCAGCCTATTAAACAACGAGCGCCACCGCCGCATCGAGGAAATGTAACTCAGAGAGTCGGAAATAACTGCTTTTTTCACCTGAAGACGATTGCTTGTGTTGCGATCGAAACGTCGTGATTTATTTTTATTTTTCTATCTACGTGGCTTAACCGAAAGATCCAAAGAGTATGAATTCCTGCAGTCACGAAAGCTTTAACTCAGGATTTAACATAATATTAATAACAATTTAATTATATAAACATTTACAACATAATAGTATACAATAACTAATCGTTAATATGATAAAAAATAATATGGTCGTTCATAATATTGCAATGAATAGTGTAATATTACAATAATTATAATTTCATAGTTATTATATTATAGAAATATAACAATGTTTTATTTAAGTGGTCATTATAAAGTGAGTGAAGGTGTCATAGTCGCTTAGAGCCGGGCAAGAAACGGGCCCGGCTCTGGTGCGTTCGCGGTTCGTGTGTGCCACGGAATACGCACCACGCGTGGTACACGGGTACACACCGCGTGTACAAAGACAAAGGTCCACCCCCCCTTATAGCCTTTAACAGACTAGTTGGGATAAGTGCTGTTGGCGAGTAGCACCTATGAAGGCCGGCACGGTACACGAGGGGGTGTGGTGGAGTGGCCAGCACCACGTGACTCGGACGGCGTTAATTTGCTGAGCGCGTCACGTGGGACGTGTTTAATTGTCATCGGGCGCGTGCGGCGTGGAGCGACGTAACGTGAATGGGGAGGAAATTGGTGGACGCGCACAGACGGAGTGTGATGGTGGGCTTGGGAAAGCCTGAATTCGGGGGGTCCGCCTAGGGTGCGTGCATCCCCCAGGGGGTGCGAGACGTGGCCACATTTGTTTTAAAGAAGGTCAATCATCGAAAACGCATTAAGCACGGGCACCTAAGTACTACTTTGTTTAATCAACCCTCTGTATTTATTAATATTGTAAATTTTTTAACGATTGAGAACCAAAGGGGTGCAAGGCTGCAGTGAAGGTTAAGAACCACTGGCCTAGGCAATAAATAAATAAAGAGCGGTGCTCATCTACCGTCTACAGCCCTGAGACACTCACTACAAATTCCACATTCCTATGGCGGGAGCAACTCTCTCCACAGAACAACCACAGCTGGCTTCTCTACAAAGTGGTATCTATTTTTACCGACCACGGAGGGATTATGGGCTGAGTTAACCCTCACCCAGAATTTGAACTCACAACCTCGGGGATTGTTTAGCCACTGGCTCTACCGCTGGGTGATGATGGTATTGGTGATGATGGGATTGATGATGATTATGATGGTGATGATGGTATTGGTGATGATGGGATTGATGATGATTATGATGGTGATGATGGTATTGGTGATGATGGTATTGATGATGATTATGATGGTGATGATGGTATTGGTGATGATGGTATTGATGATGATTATGATGGTGATGATGGTATTGATGATGATTATGATGGTGATGATGGTATTGGTGATGATGGTATTGATGATGATTATGATGGTGATGATGGAATTGATGATGGTGGTGATGTTGGTGATGACGCAGCCCACCTGACCGTGTCGGTGGAGCACCGCGTCACCACGGCGACAGCGGGCGATGACGTCAGCCTGCGGTGCAACATTCGCACTGAGGGGGCGCTGCGCCAGGTCACGTGGTACAAGGTGACCCGCTCACCTCTCTTCACCTGCTCACCTCTCCTCATCCGCTCACCTATTCTGACCTCACCTCTCCTCACTTCTCGTCACCTCTCACCTCTCTTCACCCGCTCACCTCTCCTCACCACCTCAGCTCTACTCACCACCTCACCTCTCCTCACACACTCACCTCTCCTCACCCATTCACCTCTCCTCACCACTTCAGCTCTCCTCACCCATTCACCTGCTTACCTCTTCTTACCCGCTCACCTCTCACCCCAATCCCTGCACCCGAATCTAACCCAATCCCGTAAAGGTTTGAAGCCTCTTCTTAACAAAAACCCAAACTTGACTCTAAACATAAATATAACCCTGACACTGACCTGAACGTTAACCCAAACCATAAACAATGATATATAATAATCGCTCTATTGCTGCCCCTAACTCTCTCCATACCTCTAACCCCAGATGAGATGTTCACCACCTCGTCTGGTGTACAGGAGGTCGGGCGATTGACCCCTACCCTGACACCTGCTGTATATTTGGAGTCTGCATCTCTCTCTCTCTCCCCTCCCCCCCCGCCCCCCCGTAGTTGCGTGGATTTTTATCCGGGTCCTCCGGCTTTCCCATCCACATTTAAAAACATGCGTTAAGAGTGCTTGATAGCTGTAAATGTCCACGTGATGAGCACACGTCGTTGAACTTTTCACTTGTGGTAGCCAGGTCGCTTCTGGAAAAGAGCTATATAGCTCAGTGGGCCTTACCTGGTAAAATATAAATAGTATAGCTCATAGTTTAAACCCTCTCCGCACCCCTAATTCCCCCTGCCCTCTCACCATGGCACAGGTGCTGGATGCTGGCGCGACACGAGAGAAGATCTTCTCGTACGAGACGTTTTGGCCTCTCAACGGCACGAAGTCAACTCCCAGGCAGATCCTCAGCCACCAGGCCACTGTGCGGTGAGTCGAACAAAGCCAGCCCGCCATTGTGACGCACAAGCGGCACACACAGGACAGCCGGCCGCTCTGGCTTTCGCACCTGATTGGCTCACAAGTTTCAACATCAGTTCTATCCCTCTATTTGGTTGTTGTTGTTGTTGTAATTACCATCACGACACTCGAATTGTAAATGTTGTAGTGGGTTAACTCTCCAACACAACTAGTGTTGCCATACTAGTGTAGTGACTGGCTTAGAGACGTAAGTTCTTAGAGGCAGTTATTTGATTAAATCGAGCACCCTCTGCACAATACACACCCTACGCTGGAACACACTCTTCTCCCTCTCATTTATACACAACTCTACATAAGTTCATATTCTTAGCTCTTTCGGTAAAGTCACGTTGAAGGGAAACAATAAAAAAATAAAGTATATATAAAACAATAAAAATTCTCACGACGTTTCGACCATAATGATGACCGTTTGTGTTATGGTCGAAACGTCGTGAGAATTTTTAATGTTTTATATATATTTTATTGTTTCCCTTCAACGTGACTTTGCCGAAAGAGCTAAGCATATGAATTACTGCAGTCACGAAAGCTTTAAATCAAAATTCTACATAAGTTGCTAGCCTATTCACATCACTAACCGACTGACACTGACAGCGCTGAACTGAGACAGCCAACTGCCGTCTAGCAGCGCAATATCAGGTGAAGACGACAGTGATGAAGGCGACGAGACGACAGCGACGATGGCGTTGATCTTCAACATCAACGACGGGATCCCACTCCAAATGACAGCCCTGAGGTCCCCTCTCGGCGCCCCTCTTATACTGTCAGCATGGCCTGGCTCCGCCCCGGCCACTCCCCCCTTCTGAAACCTACTCGCGGGTTCTCGACGTGTCCCTTCTGTAACCATTTCCCTACACCCTTCTCTGGTCTATCACGTGCCCTGCTGTCAGTCAGGGCTGCTGCAAGCTGCAGATCCCCTTCCCTGCCAGCAGCCAGCGCTATGCTGCTATGTGACAGATTCTATGTCATTACACTAGTAACGAATTTGCATGTTTTGTTTACGTGACAAACCTTACTGATTGGCTGGTTTCGGGTGGTGGCGTGTTTAATGACATTTATATTTACACGATCTAACCCCCCAAAAAAACTCTTCTATTATGGATAATGGAGCCTCTTCATTCTGTGGGCCCACGTTCAGATCCGGTAGCTTGGTGAGACTACTTTATCGGCGACGGGAAGAAAAAAACACATCATCATCGCGGGCCAGGCCACGCAGAATCTCTCCACCACTCAACTGGCACGCCGCTGTGCAGACCCGAAGGCTCTGCGAGGTGGTGGTGTGACCTTCGGCATTGTGCCAACTCCGACTGTAACAAAGACAAAGATCCCCTCCCCCTTATAGCCCTAACAGACTGTTGGGGGCCAAGTGCAGTGAGTGAGTAGCACCGATTAGGGTCGGCCCCGTGGCACACGAGGAGAGGTTGTGGATGTGGCCAGCCACCACGATTTACGGCCAGCTTTGTTTCGCCAAAGTGCCGATGTTTACGCACCGTGCTGGGTACTCGTTTCTTTAGGCCGAGTCGACTTAGGGGAGGCCCAGGACCAGTTCATATATTCGCCACTGTTGTTGGTCATGAGCGATCATCGACATCGGAATCGTCGGATTTGTAGGGCAGTGCGCTAGTCACTACACTACTCATCATCATCACAATCTATGGACAGAGGTGTCCGCTGCACATTTCGTCATTTGTTTCCACTTTTCTCTTTGTCTTGTGCCAATATCCTAAAGCAGTTCCACGTCTTTCTGGCGCCAATCTCTTTACATCATCATCATCAAGCAATTCCCTGAGAAGTCTTCCTCTCTTTTCGGTTCCTTCCATTTTTCCGAGCAGCACCACTTTTAATGTTCCTGTTGTTGTCCACCCTACTGCGTGTGTCCAAATAGTGCCCAGTTTCCTTATCATCACTGCCTGCATCATCACCAGGTTGCCTTCCTCTATGGTGCAACCCTTTTCTCACTTCTAGTCACTCTTTGGGTCCAGCTTAGATGCAGCAGCAGTATAATTACGTTGAAATACATTTCCAGTGCCAATATCTTATCTCTGTCAGTCTTTTTTAACGTCCAAATCTCGCAGGAAATCAAAGCTGTACTGAACACGCATGTTTATTAAGATGATCCGTTTGGTCATGTAGCTGACTTGCTTGCTTATCCAGATGTTATTAAATCCTGTCACTACTCCTTTTGCTTTTGGGATTCTCACTTTCATTTATTTCGTGCAGACCTTGTGCCATGTCAGTAGACTTTCCAAGTATACAAATTCCTTTACATTCACACTCTTTGTCCTGCTTTCTAGTCTTACTTTTTTCTTAATCGCCTCGCTTCCGAACACCACTGTCTTTCTTCTTTGGTTCTTTCGGTAAAGTCACGTAGAATGAGAATAAAATAATAAATTGATAAAATAAAATAACACAATAATATTCTCAATTTATTATTTTATTCTCATTCTACGTGACTTTACCGAAAGAACCAAAGAAGATGAATCATTGCAGTCACGAAAGCTTTAAATCGAAATTTAACCACTGTCTTTGTCTTTTCCACATTAATCCTCGGTCCTGCATCCTTTCCTGACTTATTCAGCAGTACGAACATTTTCCTGCAGTACCACGCAGTGTTTTTTCCTTATCAGATCTACGTCGCCCGCGAATCTCAGGGTATTTATTATTTCTTCTTGCACAGATATTCATGTGCCATTGTCCTGAATGGCATCCATCACTCTCGCCAACTACGGGACGATGTTGCTTGGTGATGGTGGATCCCCCAGTCTTAGACCTATTGTTTTCAGGAACCATTCTCTTATTTTCTGTCCCAACTTTTACTGCTGACTTTGACCTTTTACCTCTATCCTGCAGAATCTGCGGCAGGCTTTTCGCTACTGCATACGATCATCATGTTGCCCATGTTATATCTTGCTCAGTCGAATCGAATGCGCTCTGGAAATCTACGAAGCAGTTGTAAAGCAGCCTATCCTTTCTCTTTGCTTTCTCTGCTATAAGTCTTAACATCAAGATTTGCTACACCGTGTTCCTATTTTTCCTAAAACCCCGCCTGTTTGTCTGCCAAATAATCCTCAGTCTGTGCTTTTAATCGACTTAATGGTACTATCATAAGTAAGTAATACTCTGTTGTATATATGGCACCATTCACACAAGACCTACAGCACTTTACAACACAATGCCAGTAATAACCCTGAACATTAAAACGAAGAGGAAAAAACCCTCTACACAGATGGGGATACGCAAGAGAAAATAAACGTGTTTTCAGACGAGCCCTTAAAACCTCGACGGAGCGTCCCTAATGGACTGGGGCAAGACAATTCCACAAACGAGATGGCTGGTTACTGGACACCCTATCATCACCCATCGAACGCAGATTTGTCCTCAGTACCACTCGGGGTGCCCGGAGTTGGTGGAGCGAATTTGCCAGACAGGGGCAGCGTACGGATTCAGCAGCTCACTGATAAATAACGGAGCTAATGACCCCTCTCAGGGCCTTGGAGGCCAATACAAGAACTTTAAATTCGATGTTCTATTTAGCTGGAAGCCAATGCAGTTGTTGCTACATCGCCGGATGTCGCTGTGTGTGTGGCCTGCCTGGCAAAGGCACGCCACACCATGTACTGTCATCATGGACACCACCGAGGGCGGATGCAGTACCGGCCCCAGCGGAGTTTGAGGAGCACGGACTGACAGCGACCAGTGGCACCCTGCGCTGGGTGCAATGCCAGCCCCTAGAGGATAGGGTGCAGGGGGGGGGGTGCCGGCTTCGGGAACGGGGTTCAATGGGGCCATGGCACTCTGGTTGACCCCAGAAGACACGTGACCGGGGGCGACTTGCTCATGTTTCCTGGGTCTACACAAAACCTCGGGGCAGCAGAGTTTTTGAACAAGCTGCAACCTCATTTAAAACATTCCGTGTCGTACCAACTGAACAGGGCGTTTTGATGAAATGAGAAGCATTGTGCCACCAGTCTCTCAGCATCCGACGTTTGGTGAGAATTTATGGAACGCGTGAAATATCTCGCAGGCGAAAAAAGGGGAAGACCTTCAGTCAGATCACTTGCTTTTATGGTCAACAAATATCTCGCAGGTGAAAGAAGGAGACCTTCAATCAGATTCCTCGCGTGACACTCAACAAATATCTCAGCTGTAAGAAAGGGGGGAAACCTTCTGTCAGATTCATTGCGTGACACTCAAAAATTATCTCGCAGGCAAAAGAAGGAGGAGATCTTCGGTCAGATTCCTCGCGTGACACTCAAACAAGTCAAGGCCGCATCAAAAATTACCTCAGGGTTCCCGATACCTTCGATGATGATAATGTGATTTCAAGATCATCAATCATCATACTGAACCCATTTACTCGATGAAGCAGGTTGAGGGGAACCCGGCAACATGACCTTAGTTTTGTCACGGTTAAGTGTCAGGAGATTTGTATTCATCCACACCCTGACCCTGGAGACACACTGAGACAGGACTGAACCAGTGGAATCAGTATCGGGCAAAGTCTGAAGAATTGTCGTCAACATAAACATAATCATTCAGACCATGGTGACTGAATATGCTCCCAAGAGGCAACATAGAGATGGAAAACAACAAAGAGCCCTAAAATGGACCCCTGGAGGATACCAGTGACGACTGGGTGAGTTTCAGATGTATGGCTCCCTAACGTGTCAAACTGTTTCCGATCGGTCAGATAGGCACTAGGCCAGGAAAGAGCTGCACCACTGATGCCAATCGGAGTCTCGAGGCACTTGAGCAGAATACGATGCTCAACGGTATTTGAACACCACACTAAGATCCAACAACACCAGTCTCAAAAGTAAGCCTGAATCAGCGGTCATGAAAACATCATTGACCACCTTAACAAGCACTGTCTCAGTACTGTGCAGTGGCATAAACGCAGACTGGAATGGCCCAAAGAGGTTGTGGTTTGTAAGATGTCCCTGCAACTGCTG